TCCACTGGGGAGATTATTGTCCACATTGTAGAGGTCATTACAGTCAGCTGGCAGTTTGACCTCTGCACAGCTGATCAGCAGTGGAGCCAAGAGGAGGAGAACTGATGACAGCTAGAAGACAGAACATGGCAACTTCTGAGCATCAGCCATCAAAGAACATCCATCTAGTCAGATTAACTGATTAACATCCATCTAGTCAGATTAAACCTGATTAACATCCATCTAGTCAGATTAACTGATTAACATCCATCTAGTCAGATTAAACCTGATTAACATCCATCTAGTCAGATTAAACCTGATTAACATCCATCTAGTCAGATTAACTGATTAACATCCATCTAGTCAGATTAACCCTGATCCCTGTTCCTTGTCCTGCTTGTTGTGCCGCCAGATTTGCAGCCTCAGACTCTCAGACTAAGGCTGGATTCTAATGGTTTCTGGTCGGTGGGACCCCACAACTTTTTAACAACTCATTTGATCAGTCCTGTTAAGAAATGTTATTTCCAGAACCAATGATATGCTGTGTTTGCATTCATCCAATGTTTAAATATGTTTAAAAACTCAAACTCACAAACACCTAACACTTTAAATAGTCAACAAACTCACTAGAAGTTGTTTGATTGGTACATTTTTGACTACATTGTTAAATATGTTGTTTGTATTCATATTTTAATCATCATTGATGTTCCATAATTTGTACATTTTTATGTACAATGTCTCTGTGCTGTTTCCATCTTGTTATTGATGAAATGTTGAATCTTAATAAAATCTTTCCAGGTTAAAGTAAATAAAGATAGATAAATCATTCCTCATTTTTCCGACATTATACATTATTAAATTAATGATTCAGTTACAGATATTTTTATAGTGCATGGTACAGGCTTACCTTCATCTTTACTGTTGATCTGGATAAAATTGATCAAAACTGATGAAAATCTGGAGTCAGTATGGATCACTACTGAACTGCAATACAATGAAATTCCCTGTCAATGTAAAATAAATAGAGAAACTTTAATGGTCAAAGACAGTTGTAAATGAATTCATTCGTCAATCTCTCACCTGCAGCTGCAATGAACTTGATTCCAAACTTCTGCTTCTCGTCTGTGTCTCCGATGTTCAGAGACCGTTATTTATACCTGCTGAATGTGCTGATGTGTCACCTCACCTGATTATCAGAAACCTAAATCAATCATCACCTAATGAAAAAAGACTTTGGCTCCATCATTTCACAAAGCAAATACTGGATACAGGATCTGGACGAAGGTGTGACTGAAAGGGAACACCAATGCGCCCAAAGAAGATATGAACAAACAACTTTTATTACAGGCTTCTAAAAACATTGTATCTTTCCCCGTAGACATATTTACTCAGTGTTGTTATCAGGCCTTTTAGTCAATACATCTGTATCCTGGTAGAAATCTGACCCAACACCAACACGCCATACACAAGCAAAACGCTGGCCAGCTTCCTCTTGAGGATTGGATTAGGATTAATTATATCTAATGTGGTTCTGATCGACTGGAACAACATTCAGCCGATCAGACATCTTACTGCTGCATGCCATTATGTCCGACTTCGTCACACTGCTAAACTCACAGTATCCATCAAAAAGTGTCAGTACTGGAAGGATGTTGTCCCTTGCATTTCATCAGGCTGCTGGAAAACTCAGTTTTGATAAGTTTAAATCCCTCATGACTTTTGAGCAAACAGGAGAAACAAAAAGCTGATCAACCAGATTCTGTTCAGTATGTAGGATGAGTCTGATCAGCACGAGAGGCTATAAATGGGATCAAAATCGCAACTTTGCAACTTCAATCCAAGATGGTGGACTTCCTGTTTAATGTAGATCATGGATGAAAGAAGCTNGAGATAAGAACATATCGGCCATCATTGTCGCTCATGGTTTTCTCCAATCTAAAGGGAAGGCTGCGATGGATTAGTATGGCAGCTCCACTACTCTTAAAGTTATGTGACGAGTAAAGGCCACCCAATTCCTCTGAGGTTTAAGGTGCTCATTGTCGGTTAAGTGGGTTTCAGACAATAATGCTATTTTTGTGTTTTCCTTTTTCAAGAATGTTAGGATATTTTGTCTTTTTATCACATTATTGATTCCCATTGCATTAAGGGAGACTATTCTGAAATCACTCATAGCAAAGCTGATAACAGCTTGACAATCTGTGAGAGAGCGTTCCAAGTAAACCTCCATGAATTTACAAAAATTTACTGAAAAATCTGAAAAACTCTAATCCCCACACCCTCCTCCCCTCCACCTTGTGCCGTTCTGGGACATTGACCACAGTAAGAAAACTGGGGCACATGAAACCGAGAAGAGCCGTCGCCTAGAAAAGAAGACCAGACATCCTCCCTAAAGCTAAACTCCCCCCAACAATTAGCCACATACCTTTGCAACAGAGTTCTGCACCGAGGAGAAAATAAAATCAAAAGGAGCGATTAGCCGGCTCTGCCTCCAGCCGGCCCAGAACACAATATACAAGTGCGCGGTCGCTCAAGACATCATTGACGTGCTGCTTTCACAATAAAAGCGCACATCCGGTCTAACTAATCTCTCTCTCTCTATTTATATCCTATCTATCTCTCTCTCTCTCTCTCTCTCTCTCTCTCTCTCTCTCTCTCTCTCTCTCTCTATATATATA